ATTATTATCTTCACATTTCAGAGGGGAAATTGAGGCTTAGAGAAGTAAATTAACTTGCCAGAAGTGACATAAGGAACAGGTGATGGCTGTGCAGTTTGGAACCCTACTCTATGGGGCTCCAAGATACTCCCTAAGGTGCTAGGACTTGTTGGCCAGGGCTACTGTAATCATGTGTCACAGACTGCGTGGCTCAAGCAACAGCAATTGATTGTCTCACAGTTATGAAAGCCAGAAATCCGAGATCAAGGTGTCAGCAGGATTGGGTCCTTCTGAAGATGTGAGGCAGACAGTCCATGCCTCTCTCCATGCAGTTTGCTGCCAGTCTTTGCCATTCCTTGGCTTGTGGCAGCATAACTCCAGTCTTCACATGGCATTCTGCCTGTGTGCGTGTCTGTGTCTGAATTCCCCCTTTTTACAAGAATACTAGTTTTATTGGATTAGGGGCCCATCCTATTCCAGTATAACCACATCTTAACTAATTTCATCTGGAATACTCTATTTCCAAAGGTCACATCCTGAGGTACTGGTGATTCGGACTTCAATGTATGAACTTTGGGGGACACAATTCAACCATAACAGTGCTGACAAGCTTGTTAGAGTTTCCAAGGTAGAAATGAACAAAGAGTTAATTAATAATAGGACATAAGCAATAGTCCCAGGTGACACTACCTGCCAGAATGCATGAGTGCTTCTTGGGTGGATAATTAGTGCTAACTCTCCAGAAGCCTGAGAAAATCATATTTAGCTGGAATGATCAGAGAATGCTTTATACTGTATGGGATTTAAAATACTGTGGTTGGATTTGAACTGAGTGTGATAAAACGTCATAGCCCATGGGTCAGTAGAGAGAAAAGGAAAGGGTATTCCTGGTATGTAGAACACCGTGCATTTGTTAGAAGTTGTGAGATTTGTAAAGAAGTGGGGATACTGCCCTTGTTGTTAAGGAACTTACAGTCTAACTTAAGGCATAAAACTTGAGAAGAGTTAACTATCAAGACAAAAGTTTAAAACATGACCATCACCAATGCGTATATGGGCAGCTGTGCAATATAGTGGCCTGCGTGGCCAACTGAGTGACAGAGGCCACAAGGGGCTCCAGTGCCTAGCGAATATACATGGGTGAGTGGTCTCATGCACTGGGCTTCTTTTAAAAGGGTGGGCTCTGGGTAGGAGAAGAACAGAGAATGGGGTTCCCAGGGAAGATGGTGCTTACACAAAGATAGTAAAGCCTAAGACCTAAGTGAAATTCCCCTGGCCTGTCAGTCAGGCAGAAACACCAGGTTCTTAGGGGAATGATCTAGGGTAAGAAAGGAAAAGCTCTCTGGCTACCTTTGATTTTGCAGAATCCTGTACCAAAGCTAATGTCTAGAAAGACATCCACCAAGCTGTGTGGTCAAAACTTGTGTTCTGTAGGACACTGACAGGTATTCCTCAATTTTTTTAAAAAAGTTACAGGCTTAATAAGTTTAGGCAATAACAGATTAATTAATGGTAAGATTTTAGTCAGGTCCTGGCAGAAGCAGATGGCACAAAGTGAGTAATTCAGAAGAATTTAGTAAAGGACTGGACAGGGTTTGAGGAAACCACAAAGGAGAGGAGAGTGGCTATTAGGTATTACTGAATTGACCTTAAATTTTTTAGGTGGGATACCATTCTTGAGGTTATATAGTAGCATAAACAATATGTGTGAAGATAGATGACAGATAGATAGATAGATAGATAGATAGATAGATAGATAGATAGATAGATAGATAGATATAAGTAGGTAGAGAAAGTGCTAATGTGTCAAATTGTTAATAACTGGTTTATTATGAAGTTAGATGGGTAATATACAGATGCTGATTTTGCCATTTTTTTCTACTTTTCTACTGAGTTTGAAAACTTCCAAAATAAATAATTGGGGAAGAAAAAAATGTCAAGAATCATATGCATTAGTCAGAACACTTTCAAATAGAAATCAAACCATCAGGCTTACGCAGAAAGGGGAATTTATGAAGGGATATCAAGTTCAGATAGGCCAGGACTTGATCTCTTTCCCATCTCTGCATATAGTCATCCTTTTCTACCTCCATTCTCAAGGTGAGAGAAGGATGGTTCCTCAGAAGATAATCTAGATGTTATTACCAAAAGCAAGGCAAATGGGTACATGTCAGACAAAAGTAACACTCCTGTATTATAAAGAGCACTGAAAAATTAAACATAAACGTTAAAGCAAGTAAAGAGCTATCATGATTCAGTGGTAATAACCCATGGAGTAAGAGTTATTATCCATTTCAAAAACCCTCATCATTTATCCCATGACTTTGGTATGACAGAAGACAACTGTCATTCTTCCATTACTTCTCTGAAACAATTGTAATATGAGAAGCCAACTGAAATGGAATTCATTACATTGGATCTGACCTCAATTCTCTCAAATGGCAATTTGGAAGAGCTGTTTGCTGTATCTGTTCCTGAAGCCAAGACCTTTGCAGTAGACCTTGACATGTGAATGGAATAAAAACCTCAGTTGTATTGCTACTTATGGGACCTATAGCATTGGCAGGGGACCACTGAAAGTATCCAGGCATTAACGAGTACAACTCAATGTGAATATTTTGTTACTGGTGGGATTGGATTGTTCATCTACTGAGTATATTGTCATTTTCAAATAGACTCTTGAACAGTTCCATTTTTCCCTCTAAACATTGAGCAATAGCAGCTTCTATTCTATCCATGTGCAAGTCATTACTTCCAATTTCAGTGTTTTATCATACTGAATATTTATTGAGTTCTACCATAAATCATGAAGCTTGTAAATACTGACACAAGAAAACAAATATATAAACTAGTTTTATCACAAAGATTCCTTGAGGTTTCTGCTGTGTGGAGAACACCTCACATCAGTCACTTAGGAATATTATATATAAAATTTACAAATCTTGCAGGCAGAGCTTTAGAGGTTTTTACATGTAATTGAAGTGTCCATCCATTATTACTGTTACCCAGTCCGCGCACAGATGGTGCTGTGCCAGTGGCAAGGTGTATGGGGACCTAAAGGCACTTCCCTGGTGCCTGTAGAGGCCAGCATGTGGGCCTGCGACAGAGTAGAAGAGGGTGCAGTTGAGGTCAGCACAGGCCCCTGTTCTAGAGAGGAGTTTGGCAGTGCAGTGTTTCAAGGTTTTGAACTGGCCTGTGCCCCTAGGAGGATGGTACGTGCACTGTTAGGGCCACCGCAGTTGGTCACACCCTTTGGGTGAAGTCCTCTAAGCTCTGTTGTAGCAGAGGTGAGTCATCTCCCCAGGGCCTTCTAGCTATTTCCTACTGGGGCTTGGGCTTTCACCTCTGTGTGTCTGTTTCATCCATGGGAAATGGAGGCTTGGGCAGCAGGAGGGTGCCTGGAGCCCTGTGGGAAAAACCATAGCCTCTACTTCGACTTCCTCCTCAGTAGCCCATCACTCCATGAGGCCAAGCTGCACCTTCCTTTCTTTCAAAGTGCTATTGCAGTACAGTATGTATAGCTAATCCTTAAAGTTTGTCTTATTTAAAGTGTCTGGGGAGTGCTGACTGTTTAAAGAAAACAAGTGGTGGATCCTGGGAAAATGTGAATAATTACTCCATAATTAATTTATTCTGTAAACTTGCATCTTATTCCATTTAACTTTAAATATTGGGGGCTGGAGTGCACAACTGTCTTTTTCATTTATTTTTTGAAAGCATAGGGTAATTTATTCTTTTCCAAGGGGTCAAATCGTTGATGAGGAGATCACAGTCGCCCCGCCCAGGGAGCTGTGCTTTCTCCTTTCTGTTCTCTCTTGCCAGAGTATCTTCTCCTTCGGGTTTGGGGCGACCATCCCCAGCTTCCTTATTTTTCTCCCCTTACATTACACAGTGACTGAGCACCTCCAAGCACTCATTTGGGAGTTTGGATGCGGCTTTGTATTTGTGATTCATTCCCGTTAGCCTTGCAGAGGTCATGGATGGCACTGAGTAACACATTCAACTTCTGAGGCTTGGTATTTGCTGACTATATAGCCAGGCCCCTTTGGCTCTCAGCAAGGGGAAACTTAAGCTATTAATTGATATTATGTGACTCAGTTTGAGGTCAAACAGTAAATAAGGATAGAATGAGAATTAGAACCTCAACTCCAAAGAACTACAAAAACAAAGACTTGAAGAGGGGGGGAAAAAAGGACATGATTTAGCAAGATTACTCTCTCTCCTCTGACGACAGTGACAGACAACCCTGGCTGTGGGTTAGTCTCAGGTATTAATTCATTTGGAACCTCAGTAATGAATTAGGGTGTTCATGCATGCTGCATCTTCGTGTGACAGGTCTGTGCTCTACTCTAGAAGGAAACTGAAGCAGATTTCAATGGTTTGCCCATCTCTGCCTACTCTGCCCACTGCAGTCCACAGTGTTGATTCAGTTCCACTTAATTCAGCAAGGATTTATTCAGTGCATCTTGTATGCCAAGGATTGTGAGTTCCCTGCCTGCAAGGAACTTGGAGTCTAGTGATCTATTTGTTCACTACCTTAAATTCTTGTCTGTACCAGTATTTTTTGACTAGTATAATTACAAGAAGAACACAAATTAGACTTAAAGTGTCAAGAATACACAGTGTTCTTGAAGACACAATTGGTTATTTTTCAGCCAGCCAGATGAACTGGTGAATGCCAACACGCACACACTGACATCAACGGCTGCCCTTCAGCTGTAGGCCTGGAAAGCATATTCTAAATCCTCCAGTGAGATGTTCTGGCAGGCATTTTCATCCAGATAGTATTAACAACAACACTAAAACAATCCACTCATCAGTCCCTGACTCTCGGGGAGGTCCTTGATGAAAACATGAGCCACCTGAGCTTCAAGTACTTTTGGCCGACCAAATCTCATTTCCCAGTCAGTCATCATCTTTTAAGTAGCTTTTCTGTTTTGGGGTAAATAAAGTAGCATAGGCATTTCCTTGTCCAGCCACATTTTGCATTTTTCATTACCATGACATTTTTGGACTGATTCATGACTTAACTACATAAGAACATTCTCAATAGCAAAAAGACTTGTCGGAAAAAACATCACAGAAGTGAAGATTGGAGAGAGCATGGTCTTTGCAGTCCATTCATTCAGTATTATTTATTCATTCAACAAATATTTATTAGTCCATCCATAGTCCATTCAACAAATATTTATTGAGCACTCTGCTGGAAACTTGTATATCTTAGATAGTGACTCAGTCTCTTTGAGCCTCTGCTTTTATCCTCTGTCAAATGGGGATGATGACACCTACCACACAGGATGGCAATGGAGATAAAGGGCAGCAGCTGTGTGAAAGTGCTCAGCCCAGGGCCCACACAGGCGAGTTCTTGGGAACTGTGTCCCATCCCTGCTGGGGGAGAAGGGATGTGAATATCAGTTGAAATGCATTTTTCTCACTTTCCTCAGGTGGCCTTCTCCAACTCTGCCCTCTTCCCTTTGAACAGATGCAAACTTGGAGATTTTAGTGAGAAAATATACGTCATTCCTCAGGAAAACCTTTACATTCCTGTCTTCTGACCTCTCAGTCTGTCCTCACCCCTCCTTACGTGGTCTCAGGGCACTACCACCCTTCTTGCTGGCCACATCAACTCATCCTCCTGTGTTCTGGACCCATTCCTTCCTAATTAAGGACCTCTGTCATCCAAGCCTTCTTTTTCTTCCTGTCCTCAGGTACTTCCTGCGTGTAGAGGAGCCTGACTCCTCCCGGACTCTGGAGCCCTCCTCCTACCAGGGCCCCTCTCCTTTACTTCAGAGCAAAGCTTCTGGGAAAACTGGAGATTGCTCGGTTCCTCACCCACCATTCGCTCCTCCAGCCACTGTCCTCTGGCTTCTGTTTTCCTCACAAAACTGAGATAGCTTTTGTCAAAGTCATCACTCATTCCCAAGCCTATTAAATCCTATTTCACCTTGTTCTTCACGGCTCTTTGTGACTTCTGACGCTCTTTTCCCCCTAGATGCTGCTCCCCTGGAGTCACGGCCCACTGCGCGGGTTCTCCTCTTGCCCCGACCACTCCTGGCTACTCCACGGTCTCCTCATCCATTATGTCAGATGACAGCAGTCAACTTTTAGGGAGACCTCAATATGTGCAGGTAGTTTTCTAAGCACTTCGGATAAATTTTGCATTTTAATCTCCACAACAAACCTTTAATGAGTACTGTTATTTCCTCCTTTAATTCACAAGGAAAGTGAGGCTTAGACAAGCTAAATAATCTGCCTACTAAGACATACGAGGAAGAGGTAGGCCTGATTCCAGCCAGGCAGCCAGGTCCAAGAATCCCCTCTTGTCTCTGGTTAAATGTTAGCTTTGTCCTAGACTCTTTTGGTAAGTTTAACATTTCAATACTTTTTATCTCACTCTATATGTTCTCCAGATATATCTAATTTACTCCCATTCTGTTAATGATTACTTACCTATATATTGATAACTCCTGGGTCAGTTTATTTTCTCCAAGAAGTAGACACCAAAATGGAATTGGATGTGAAAGAGATTGATAGGGAGAAATGCCTGAAATGGATAAAGGAGACAGGGAGAACTTTACGACATTGTGCCAGTCGGGCATTTGTGAAAGGAGAGTGGGAAGGAAGCAGGACCCCAGATGGCAGTAGAGCTCTGAGAAAGTCTGTGTTAGGGAAGTCCTACGGTCCCGGCCCCTGCTCTCTCATCGGGTGGCAGCAGCCCCGGGAAAGCATGGCTGGTGTAAGCGCTGCAGCAGACTGAGGATGAGGGAGCAGAAAGCTGTCTGCTGGCTATGTCCCTTGCAGCAGATTCTCTCAATGGGAGATCCAAGCAGTACACCTCCATGAGCACTACGAAGCCTTGGTCTGTATCTTCAGTCCTAAATTGTCTTTGAACTCCAGACGTATACTCAACTGCTTGCTTCCCATATCTATCCTAACCCCATGAAACCTTAAGCTCAGGGTGTCCATCACTGACCTCACTTAAGGGTCTCACCCCTTAAAGCTCCATCTTCTCTATGTTCCTTACCTCAGTATGTGGCCCTGCCACCCACTCATCTAAGGTCATCCTCTCATGTCTGCATATACAAGCAGTAACCAAGAGCAGTGGATTTTATGTCTTACATTTCTCTTAAATTGATCGGTCATCTCCATACATAATACTGCTGCCCTTGTTCAGACCCCCACCATTTTGCCCTGTTAAAAGAGCTTTATATCTGGTCTCCTCATCTCTGCTCCATTTGCACGGCACTGCCAACAGAGTGATCTTTCCCTTCCTAAAACTGACCCCTTGAACTGGTAATCCCATTATGATGTAATGACTGCTTTAGAGGTAAGTTCCAGATGCTACAGGAATTCAAAGAGGGAATGTTCAGCCCAGATGCACAAGGAAGGCTTCCTAGGGCAAGGTACCTGGAGAATCACAAAGGAGATGGCCAGTCCCACTTAACAGATAATTATTCACTCAGCCGTGGTTATTCATGGCCAAGAAAGGTTTAGTCATAAGAAAATTTCATGCTGCTATTAAAATAGTGAGTTGCTAAAGGCAAATAGGAAGTCACTTCAATTTCCATGAAATTTGAGGTCCTTTAGGTTTGGGATTTCTGTCTTTTAAACACAGTGAACATTGACATGTATCTGTTGGATGGGTTTCAAGTTCAGCCAGCACTTTGCCATAATGCTCCCTGACCTCATCTCACACTTCCTACCTCCTTTGAACTTGAGAGGCATACTCATTCTTACCTTCTTCAGGGAGGGATTGTTCATTGTTTCTTCTAAGAGAAACTTGAGAAGGCCAACAGTGTGGGCCTCTTTGCAGGTACAGTGAGTTCTTGATGTGTCTGTGAAACAACTAGAGTCTATTTTGGTTTTCAAGGTTATCAAAGAACTTTAGAAAATCACCCAGGTTTTGAATATTTTGATCTTAATTTCAGGACATGTCATCGGAGATAGGACTACAATATGCTCTGGAGGGAGCTAGATATTTTTCTCAGTGAATTGACAAGTGAAAATTTAATCAGCTAACTTACCCTTCCCCTGTCTCAACACATCCAAGACACAGAAATGAACACTTTCCTTATTTTAGAAGCTATTTATTTTACATTCTCTGTGAGACAATGCAATAGAAACTATAGCAGATCAGATAAATGGATACACGTGAGGATGTTATAAACTGTAAATAGTACCAAATGTCAGCCTTATAATTTTGATATCTAATAATAATTTCCACAGAGGATTTCATCTTAATATAAAATCATTTATAAACTTGCTTTATATTAAAGTTTATTTTCCAAAGGAAATTATCCAAAGATCCTATTATCTTCCTTTGACTGCAGAAGCAACAGCTGGAGAAAGAAAACTGAAGGTAAAGGTCATAGATATTGATTTGATTGTTCAGGCAGATGATTAATTGCCTTTGCAGGGACAGCCCCAAGGGCCATGAAAACCACTACTCAATTTAAGACTTCCCCAAGTTTCTTTATTACTGAAATCTGATCTTTGTTTCATAGGCATATATCAGGAGCTTGATAACTGTTCCATTGACTATACTTTTTCCTCCATACTCAAGACTAGCAATGCAGGTAACAGCTCTCTGCACAGTGATGAGTCTCCATATGGGTATTAGTGTTTTACATTACTAGGAAAAGGAAAATCACAGCCAATTTTCCTGGCATGCTAAACACACAGCAGTGGTGTCCCAGAACAGCCCTGCTCTGGGAAGGCTTCCTGGTCTTTGCATGTCATGATGGAAAGGAACAAGATCTAGGAGATGCCCAGTGAGGTCAGACCTGGGAAACATGGGTAGGGAGAGGAGAGCAGGCGTGACTGCCATCCTGTGCAGCCATTCATTCCCGTTTGCAGTACTGGATCAATCCTAGCACAAACGGGCATTTCCTGGTGGACCAAATGATTGGTTATCTATAATCCACGTAACTGAGACATCCTAGGGTGTTGGAGTCAGTTTGGAAATGTATGTCACACACATAATACTATTAAGAAAGTTTTAGAGTTTTTATTAGTAGTAATCATTATTATTACTAAATGAATGTGAGTAAATTAATCCTTCAAATAACATCTCTCTTACTCAGGTCCCTTCCAATAAGATTTCCTGGGAGAGAGGCTGAGGCGGGAGATGGTTCCTAAAGGGCCAGTCTCTCAGCGGGATCTGCGGGCCTCCGAGCTGGTGCACGACCGTCCGTACTCACGTGCTGCGTCTTTCCTCTGTCTTCCTCCACACCTTGCGGTCTGTGCATAAGTACTCACTTATCATCTCTTACACTTCAGCCCAGTTCCCTCTGCAACCTTTCATGAGTTATCTCGGGCCAGGCTGCTGCCTCCAGCTGTGCTCTGCAGCTCTGCCCCTTTGGCTCCAAACACCCACGGACAAGGGGGAGAGACAGCCATTCACCCAGCTTCCCTGGACACTACTGTTGTGTCCTGAGCACACCAAGAAAACTGGCTGTGTTTCCCTTTTCAGGTAATAAGCTTGTAGACCCCGTCTCTGCCGTTTAACTACTGTGTGACCCTAGGAAACTTCTTGACACCTCCAAGGCTCAGTTTTCTCACCTGCAAACTTACTTTGGTCCAGTAAATAATAGAACTGCTAAATTGCTGTAGTCACTTTAAAAAAGTCTCGTTTTCTGCATGTTGCCAGCATTTTTATCTGTATTATTAATTCTCTCACATTGTAAATCCTAAAGCATTAGCTTTCAGCTCTAGTGTCACAGGCCATTGGTGTGTCATCACCTGTGCAACATCACAACTCCTGGGATGGGATGTGGGTGGGACAGAATGAAACTCAGCCTGCCCTACAGGTGTTCCTGGACCCACAGAGCATTTTGGGTGCCCATGGGAGCGCATCCCTCATGCCAGCGAGGTCAGACCTGGGAAGCAAGCATCCTCTGTCAAGTATGTCCCTTCAGAACAAAGATTGAGGCCAAGACAGTGTGTGGTTTGAGGTCATGTTGTCATATCCAGATGATTCTGACCAGTTTGGAATACGGTATCACTGCTGGGGGCTCTCATAAAAGTCCCCTGACGGTGACAAGAACAAGGATGACAACAGTGGATGTGATGGTGATGATGATAATGTGCCTGTGTCCCCAAGAAGTTCTCAATTTCCTCTATTTCATCTCTTCTTAGCCTAGACTCAGAAAGCTAGAAAGCAGACACTTTAATCTAAAGCCTCCTTCCTCCCAGGAAGTGCAATAACAAGTAAACGATAAGATATACCAACTCTTCTTGTCTTCTTGTTACACCTGCAGACCTGGGTAAAAGTAAGAGCTGCTTTCCCAAGTCTGAAGCCCCTCAGGAGCTCCATCAGTATGAAGTCCGAGTTCAGCACAGCTAGAAAATAATAAAGGGTCTGACTCTCATGGCAGACACTGTGTGTTGTCTAACCCAACAACATCTCACTGCCACCCATTCTGTGTTTACTCTGCATCCACACGCTCACCTCCTGCCAGCTCTTCGGGGTGAAGCATATTGGTCAAAGGCAATTGAAATGGTCTTCCCTTTGCCAGTAACTGGGTGGGGCACTGGCCCCTTGACCCAGTCCTTACCTGAGGGTAAGACCGCTGGGACAAGTCTGGGGAAGCTTTTCCTTATTAGTTGAAACAAAAAGATGTGTAGGTGGACTCACTTCTCTCTTCTGCTGGACATCTTCATATCCACATGTGGTACCTGGAACTGCCACAATCCCTGGGGCCATCAGGAAGACACTGGCAACACACTGGGGACTTTGGGCTGCTGAATGGAAAGAAGGAAAGCATCTGGGTCCTTGAGGCCATCATGGAGCCACTGCAGTAAGAACACCTGGACCTACGCTCTCTATGCAGTTCTTATGCAAGATAATAAGCCTGTTACTGCTTAAAACACTTTAAGGAAGGTAGGTCTTCGCTGCTTGTGGGGAAAGGCATTCCAACAGACACCTTTTAGTGGATCATCCAGGCTTGTGATCAGCCAGTCAGATAGAGAGGTCCTGAAGTTGGTAGAGAAACCGCAGGATCATGCATACAAGTTGCCACAGCCACCTCAGATCAGTTGTTGGTTAAAAAAAAAATCACTGAAAACTATAATGTTTCAGTTTTCCATATCCATTCATTCACTCATTCAATGAATATAATGAGAGTTAGCTCTCACTATAGTTTAGCATGAAGGACACAAAGACATAGAGTATCTAGCAGCCACTTAGTACTTTAGCATTCATCAAGAACTTCCCATGCACTATTTTATGCCCACGAACTCAGTGAAATCAGTATTATTATTCCCATTTTAACCATGAGAAATCTGAGGTTCAAAAAGGATTGTCCACGTTTCCATAACCTGACTCTAAGTCCAGGGTTCTTTCCACAAAATCTGAACTGTATCTAAGGAATCTTAAGATCTGAAATTAAGAAGATGAGGTATCCACATATTTAAAATGAAGAAACAAACAAACAAGATTTAGATGGTATTGGAAATCAGCTATTCAGGAAATTTTACAGAATAGAAAGTGAAAAAGGGCAAAAATTGTAGGGTGAAAAGCAAACATCATTCAGGAGGAACTTATCAGTGTTGATGGAAAATCAACATTTTATATGTTTATTGCAAATGGAAAACAATCTTTCCTACATAAGGACTAACAGCCCTTATTTAGAATCAGAAATAATCATATAAAAACTATTGTTAACCTCAAATAAGTTAAAAAATTCATAAACCAGACCCATGTTTCTTACCAGATATTAACCACCTACTTCTGTCACTTGTAAATTATTAATTCTAAGCTTAGAAGGATTTGATAAAATAACTTCATCTGAAAATCAATAATGTGTAGATGTTGAGAATATTAGAGGGAAAAGATTTAAGGAAACCTCAGTTGGCCCCAATAACAACTGAATTGAAGGAAATGAATTTACATTAGATTCTTATCTTCACTAATTTACAGAACTAATATTACTCAAGTCCTTTAAAACTTTGCTGACTCAGTAGCTAGTAGTCACTAACTACATTTAAATTTTAATTTTAATTTTAATTAATTAAAAAATTTAGTTTTTCAGTTACACTAGCCATATTTCAGGTGCTCAGCAGACACATGTGGCTAGTAAACTGTTATATCAGACAGTGCAAATATAGAACATTGTTATCTTTGCAGAAAGTTCTGCTGGACACTGCTGCTGTAGATTTTGGCTAATGATAGACTGTGATGGAAAATGAAAACTATTTTTTTAAAGTAAAAGGGGGAGAAAATAGAGTTTTAATTTAATGCTTTTCATTGCTTTATATTATAATAGCATCAGAGTTGCTTTGTTCATTCATTATAAAACAAATATTTGCACTTTGCTAGGCACAGTATATATACACTATTTCATTTCTGTTAGGAATTGGTGGTTGTTTCTCCCAGAAACACTGGATCCAGGACTGCCTGGTACAGTTGGGGAGGTTGTGCACTGCACAAAGGTATCAGGCTAAGGGGTTGAGTGGTGGCTGAAAGAGATGTCCTTTTTTATTTTTATTTTTATTTATTTTATTTTATTTATTTATTTTTTCAAATATGAATATTTGTTTGATTTTTATACTTGATTTATATGTGAATCCCACATTTCTCCCTTATTATTATTATTATTTTTAATAAAATGCTGAAGTGGTAGGTAGATGCAAGATAAAGGTAGAAAACATAGTTTAGTGCTGTAAGAAGGCAAATGTAGATGATCAGATGATCAGGTGTGTGCCTATGGACTAAGTATTAATCCAGGCTAGACAAGGGCAGCAAGACATCCACGGATGCAGAAGATTTCTCTCAAAGCAGGGGGGGTGAGGTTCTGAGCCTCACCTCTGTTGATCCCCAAATTCTCACCTGATGGCCCCCCTGCGACTGTGCCTGTCTTAGGTTGTTCCTCCCTTGAGGAATCTTACCCGTCTCTGGCTAACCAGTCATCTTCCGGGGCCATACAGGGAAATGTAAAGTTGGTAAGTGAGAGAGAAGCAATATTGTTTGAAAAGGTTAGCTTTTTACTTCTTTGCAGATTTATGCCCTGTGGCTTTTATGCCCAGCATTTGTCTTGAGGTATCTTTACCACTTGGAAGGATTATGATACTCGGTAATTTCATTATGAGGCACGAATTCTACTTAAGGGTTGTAATTAGGAAGGAAGAAGAAAAGCTATAGTAGTAGCAGATGGAAGAAAACATGGGAAGATTGATTATTTCTTTGACATATCTTCTTGTAGAGTAACATAAGCATGTATAGGTTTTAAACTACTAATTAAATTGCACACACACATTAACAGAATAGGAATACAGCTACATAACCAAAGCAGACCTACAATTACCAGCCATCTCCAGTGAAACCAAAAAAACCAGTTAGGCACCCTAGGCATTTGTGAAAACTTATCAATGATATGATGGATATTGTCTAACTGAATTTGAATAGTTTGAGAAAAATCAGACAAATTAAAACAACACATTCCTGGGAACTGTTCACATCCCATATGTTCTTTTAACAGTAGATAGTCTGTAGTCGCAAGATTTTGGAGCGCTGCAACTTGCACTTCTCCTCATTCTTGGTTGAGTTCCGACAGTATAGATCCAGAAGAGACGTCCTTTTTTAGTTTACACAAATGTGTTTATAGCTTAGTGGCTGATGGGACAACTGGTGTCTCAAAATTTCCAGTCCATCAGTTCTCTTTCCTGATATTGAATTGCCTGTTCAGTGTAATCTAATCCTACCTTTACCCCTATTATCATTTTTTTTTCATCTTTGCTGCCTATAGGGACTCATTGTGCTTATCCCAAGTTCTGGATCACTTTTTTCCTCTTCTCTATTAAGAAACTCATTTTTTCTCTCTCTCTCAATAGAAATAGCATTTTCTCCTAATTATAGTTACATATATTTGCCTATATAAAAAATTTAAAGAATACATAAGGTATAAAGAAAAAAGTAAAAAATCACCTGAAATCCCATCTCTGAGATAACTGTCATTAACATTTTAGTGACTTTTTTCATGTGTTTGTATATACATGAGGTTTTCTGGATCATTCTGTCTGCTTTCTCCAATCCTTTCCCCAGGTAATAAATGAAGAACCATCTAATTAGAGCCCACTACAAATTTAGTTATCAGACTGCCTGGATGCTTATGCTGCTTAGCAACATTTAAAAATCTGTCTTATTTCCTTCCTACCACATTGGGTAGTTGATGTCTTCTCAGTTCTCCTCAAGCACTACCCACTTTGCTGAAAATAGCGAGTCCCTCTTTGACTCCCCTTTGCCTCAGTGGACTTCTGTCGTGATCTATGCATCAAAAAGGATGAAGAGGGGCAAAGAGAAAGGACATAAGTCAGAGCTACCTTGGAATGAGCTGTTGGCGAGCTTAAAAGACAGAAGCTCAGAAAGTGAAGCTCATCAGACCAGAAAGTCATGTTCACTAGAGCAAGCCAAACTCAGATGCAACAGCCAAAAAGTATGACTGCAATGGAATCAAAAGGGCTGTGTAGAAATTCTATTAATACCTGAGTATAGCTCTGACAGGGATAGGTTACAACCAACTCCAGAGGCTTAAGTACTTCAATGTGTAAATGTGACACATGATAAGCTGGAGTTCTGGCTCTTGGGAAGTGACCCCAGTGGATTCTATGGCAATAATTCCACTCACTCTGTGAACTTTGGAACCAGCTCTGCCTGCATGAAGGCTAAGCAAACACCATTCTTGGTATTATGGATCACCTGTGGAACTTCTCTTCCAGACTCTAGCTGCCCTAGGCCCAACTCTATCCTGGTGAGTGGTTCTCTCCAAGCAGAACACCTTTATGATATTCCTAAAACCCTTGCCAAGCTCTGACAAAAGATAATACATTTATGACTGCAGGCCAAGTTCTAAGGTAGGAAAACATCCTATGTTTTGATGCCATTGTGTAGAAAAGAGAGGAAAAGAATCACCAAGACCTTCAGTGTCCTAGTAAGACTTGAAAGGCTGCTGGGATGAAGGAGGGACAGCTGTCTGCTGTGTGCAGTGGTGGAGGGATATAAGCATCTGGTGGCTTCTTATATAGATTTTTAAGCTGTCTGCTTGTTTTCATCATCACTGCCCAAAGTTCCTGGGATTCTGATTCCTAAGCATTTCAGAGACTTTGTAGTATAAATCAGGTCACTTACAGTTGGCTTCAGTTTTCACAAGTATACTATGTCAGTTATTGTTCATCCATCTTCTTTACAGTTTTCAAAATGCTGATGGTGTTTGTCCTTGTGGATGTATCCCTATCTTTTGAATTTATTTATTTTTAACCTTTTACTATCATTTTCAATGGGTTTTGGAAAGAATTTAAGCAAATGTGCACTCAATCCATCATCTTAAATCAGAAGTTAATATGAAAGTATTTGCAAAGGAGAGCAGCATGGTAAAAACATTATTTTTAGGAAATTGAGATCATCTGCAAAATCAGGAGGGCATGCAAAATTAAAGGGGCAGAAACTTAAGTCACGGAGTCAAGAGGGCATGCAAAAATCCCCAAAGGGAGAAAATAAAAGGTCTAAAATATGACTGTGGCAAAGAGAATGAAAACAGCAAGACCCTTCAAAAAAAGGGAGAGGAGACAATCTGTTGACTCTCTGACTATAAGGAAGAAAAGGGAGTCCATATGCTATTGAACTTGGGACAGAATGACTGAAAGAATCCTAGGAATTTATGAGAAGTCCTGAGGAAGAGAAAGGGAAGAGGTTTTGGGGGTAACTGATGAGTTCTCTTTTTAAAAGGGTGAATGTTGAGAAT